GCCCGCCATCTTCGGCTTGGGGCCAATTGCGCTGGCCGAACAAGCTGGAACCTGAAGCCCTGCCTTCAGCCTGGGAGGGATGTCAGTTGCGGCCCTCCTGTGAGTCACTAATGGGTGTGGACTCCTCAACTGCTCTGGGAGATGCCTTGGACTGATCTCACGCAACCTTCTAGGCTTCAGTTGGCATAGCATCTCTATTCCATCCTTGTGATTTGCTGTTGGAGCAAACAGCCAGGACCCTGAGTGAGTGTCAAGAGTGGCAGTTTGTGATGCCATTGTAAACACACAAACGAGGCTGTCTCCCACCCAGTCTTCAGCTGTCTTTCAATTTCTTTATTTGTTGGATTTAGGTCCCTCCCTGTTCCTGAAACAGACTCCAGGCACCTTGCAGTAATATTAAATAAAAGAATGCCGTTGAAGCGGGGTTGGTACGCAATTTAAAACGAATTTAAATTGAAAGCTTAGCTAAAAATAAGGAGTGGCAAACAGCTGATCTTGCAGGATTGGTGTGAGACATTCTATGACAGGGAGCAGGGGAAGAGGAAGACCCCAATATGAGAGGGACTGACTCTCATAAAGAGAAGCCCTAGGGTTGAGTTTGCAAGAGCTGAGCCAGGGCTTAGAACGAGACATTTTGAAGATCATTCACTCACAGGGCCGTCATTAGTCGAGGGCAACTTGGCGGCATGTAACAACAACAAAGGAGAGGGAAAAGGTAGACTTTTTGTTCTTTCGTCTTGTTTGTCTAGGTGGAAGAAGTTTTGTAAGTGAGGGTGGGTATTCAGTTACGTGAGCCCTCATCTGAGACCAGAAGCAATTCTTATGTTGTTGCTCCTTGGAAGATCCTATAGTGGCTGAAGTCTAACTGTCTTGACTTCATGCTGGAAACCCAACTCTCCTCTTGGCTGCTAGTGCTTTCTCAGCCTGTGGCTTGGTAAGCAGCAGTGGCCATTGTCATCTGAATATGGCGCCTCTGAGGTTGGCTGTCAGGCTTTTGGAAGGCTGCGGGAATTCATCTTGAAACAAGTGTTGTGGGCTTTTAAGATCGTTGAGTTTTGGACGCGAATGAAGACTGGGGATGGAGGCGAGAGAGGAGCATCTGCTGTTGTTAGGTAACCCAGCTCCTTTGCCTGGTGGGCTGTGATGTCACCTATGAGCTGGCTGTTGCTAGGAAACCCTGCTTCCCATGGAATCTCTTCAGCAAAGGCATCTCTAGATCGAAAGAAAGGTGGTGCCCGTTAATGGGAGCACTTGGTTTTGCATCTGTCCTCTTGTCCTTTTCCACCAGATCTCAGGGTACACCACAGCAGTGGGCGGGCAGGAGGCCCAGGGCTACTGGAAGACCTCTGGGCAATCTCCAGTCAAACAGGAAGGCTTTTTTAAAAAAAAAAATCACAGCAGCAACAACAAAATGGCTTTCTCCTCCCCAGTCGTCTTTCAAAAGACAAAAGCTTGAGGTAACACCAGGAAACGGGGTTTGTCTAGAAAAGTTGTGAGTTCTGTTCTGCTCTAGGCTCAGAATTCTTTGCTGTCCATAGCCTGACTTAGACGTTGTATATGCTTTGAGGGGGAGGTCCTCTCCCCGTGCTCCCTCCATCCTTATATTCTTGGTGGTTTCAGCACCAGGGAGGTTTCTGTTCTTTCTTAGGCTTTATTGGAGAGCAAGAAACGTGGAAAATCATGGTTTCACTGTGCTGGGCTTCAAGTTTAATATGAATGTTGGACTCCGATCTCTAAAGGACATTTAGAAGTCTGTTTCATGATGAAGATGTTCTGCCGTGCAGATGAGAAACTTGCAGAAAGCTTGAGAGATTGCCTCTCTTGGCCATTTATCTTAAAGTCTTTTTTTTAAAAAGACCTTGCACTTAATTTGTCTTGGCATACTAAGCTGCTTAGCTTGGGTAACCCTGCTGTAATGTGAGCACAGAGAGTGGATTCTGTCAGGCCAGTATTCACCCTTGTCTTGAAAAGTGCAGGTGAGACAACACAGTTGATGGGACATCCTTCTCCTCAAGAGCTGACATTTAGTGACCGCTCATGTTGGTTCACTCAGGACTGAACAGGTTGGCTGTCCAGCCCATTACCCACCAAAAGGCATTCCAACTCACTGATCTGATCCGATCCGTTAGGGCTCTCAAGGGTTAAATCCACTCCCATGGTTTGACATGATTGACCCTGAGCATGAGAATCTTGATAAGGAGCTTTTGGGGTTTTTCTGTGCCAGGGGCTGTGACCTTCGGTGATTCCAACGGGTGCTTCTTGCCGTCTTCCACTTAGATGAACTACATAGATCCCTTAAGCTTTTGCATTTGGGGGAAGAATGTAGTGGCGAGAATCTCTTCCATTTTTTTGCAGAATGATTGTGTTTATAGGGAAGCAAGATGCAGACACCTGGAACCGTTTCAAAATCATCAGTACTATCTAGATTTCGTTAGCAGCAGTAGATCCATATGTGGGAAAGGAGCTTTTTAGACTTTTGTCATAACACGGTCTTTCCCAGCTTCGTTGTCTTTCGGATATTTTTGGCTTCAACTTCCATTAGCCCTCACTAATCCTTGGAGACTGATTGATTGATTCATTGATTGATTGGACTTGTATCCCACTCTAGTAGTGAACCACTATTCGGAACAGTTTACAGAGACACATATAAGGAACTTACAAGACAACCTCGAACACCGATAATGTGTAAAAATATAAGTAACATAAGCAAAATAAGAAAACAAACATCATAAGCATAAACTACTCTCTCAGAGTTGCAGTCTGGTAGAGCTAAAGAGGACACTGGGTTGAAGAAGGATGCAGTACAGCTTGCCTGTGTAATGTTTTTTACTCCTGCAGTGTTGTGCATTTGTATTTGACTTACATAAGTCTTGGTACTCCACATTCTTGACTGAATGGTAACTTTTGTCATGACTGATGGTTCAGACAAATACCATGTATATGAAGGTTGTTAGTTTTGGTAAATGGGATTAGCAACATTTTTGGAGGTCAATTTGTGTTTTGGTGTTGCTTATTTTTTGTGTGTGGCATTTGTTTGATCCTTTTGAGTATTTGTATACTCACTATTGTTAGCCTTTGTATTGTATTTTAAAGATGCAAGCTGCCTTAGGTCCTTTTAAGGAGAAAAGCAGGCTCAGAATGTTTTAAACAAACAAACAAATACATTCATAATGTTTCTTATACGATGGAAGTAGCTGCTCACATGGGCAGCTCCAGGTGTGTTGACAATCTGACTACAGTACTCTTTATTTGTAACTCCTCTCTAGCTTGCAATTTGGGAAACTTTTTCTACTCTTGAGGTTTAGCAATTAACAATGCTGCATTTGTAAAGGTAAAGTCCTGTGCTCTTGAATAAACAATAGCATGGGCTATGGCACAGGGCACTTTGCAGTACAGATTGAAATCAACTTTCAGGCACCAAAGTGTTATCATGACCATCTTCTCACCCGCCATCTTTTTCCAGACGCACGGTGACCCTTTGAGCTGGGATGGCAAAAGATGCCGGCCTGGTTTGGGAGTTTAAATGAGTTTCCCAAAACTAAGAAGTGGCTTCCTTGGGAGTGTTTTCTCTGGAAGAAGGACCCATGTTGTGCCTGTTGCATTTGGCGCGATTGTCTCTCCTATCTAATCCTTTTAACTCGGAGGCTTCAAAGAAAGCCTTATTAAAAGAAATAATCTGTTCACGCAAGCCTAATTAGTTTGTGTGGGGCCTGACCAAAAAAAAAAATTCATTTCACATTGTCGCTTGTACTTAAATGGCAAAGATCATTTTTTAAAACGAGAGATCAATCGCCCACTTAGCCAAACATCCGCAGCTGCGTGGGTGGGGACTCCTGGAACGCAAGCAGCTTCTTAATTTGGTTCTGATTGCCGGCGGATCTGGAAATGGAAGTATCAACCGCTTCCTCTGTGTCAGGTTTGGAAACCAGATGTTCTGGAGCAAACTGAGCTCGGCACAAGAGCCTGCTTGAAGAAGAGGCTGCAGCCCGATTGGACGGAAGGGCTTGCCGAAGAGTTACATGAACGCAGCAGCAAAGTACCCACTTAGCCAGTAGTGGTAATTCATCCGGGACTTTTCCTATGTGCGCAGTTAATTAATTTATTTATTTTCAAATACTTACATGCCTGCTTTCTCCCAAAAAGGATCCAAGGCAGCTTGAAGAGTGTTAAAGATCTAATTATGGTGACACGGTCTGTCTCCAAAGACTTTTGCAAGTGTCACATAAGATACCTCTTTTTAATCATAAACATCCAGGGAGGTGGATGGGTCTGAGAGATTGTGACTGCCCCCGTGATTGCTGAGTGACTTTCAGTCCAGGATCTGAACTTGTGTCTCTCCCAGTCTTAACAGCACTTTGAAGATGACTCTCCTCAAAGTTAGAATGGCCAATAGTACAGTATATATTTGATTTAATTAATGAAGCACAGTAGCTGAAGTATTCATCTAGGGCTAGTTCTTTCCCTTGTTCCCTGAGGCTACAGAGCAGCTACCTTGTACATGAACTGGATGCACTAAAGGAAAAGGATAATAACCATCGGGACAGTTCATGGGCCCTGGCACTTGCTTATCCATGCCAGTTCAAGCGATGACATCTTTTCTGTGTTTGTTTGGATTTGAGTTCTCTCAAATGGCACTCTATCCATATCTCAAGGTGTATTTGAGCCCACAGTTATAAAAACCAGTGTTCTGAATGCTCAGTGAAAATACAGTATTTGTAGCTTACTGTATATGGTTCTCTGCCTCTCATACCTGTGGTGAAAAGATAATGTAAGAGATTACAAGTGATCAAGAATAGCACAGGAATTATGTGTTAAAATACCAGTATCCTTCCCCACCCACCTCATCTCCCCCACGGGCACTTTTACCTTTAGGAAAATTGATATTTCCACAGTGAAAGAAATCAGTTGGTTCTTCTGGTTCTTGGTGTAAACAAATAAAGTTGTGCCACACAGTTAAATCCATATTTCCTTGTTTGATTGATTTTTCTTTTGCACTGCAGGTGCTGAGGATGGGGTGATGGCGTTTTCCAGATCGGAGACCGAAGACCGAAGGCAGTAACGTGGAAGTGCTGTTTGAGCAATGTGGAGCTGGCGCAGGGGGAAGATAAGGCTCGTGACGATCAGAGAGGATGGCTGGACACTCCCGAGTCCTTTTGCCCTCCTCTGAAATTTGTCTTGTCCTGTGATAGCACCCCTTGTGCCCTCCGTTCAGTTTCCCTGCTCCTCGGCCCCCTTTGCGGGCAGCCTGCCCCCTCTGGTTGGCTCCACGGGGCTGCGTTAATCCAGGACAAAGCCAAGAAAACATCTGGAATCGGCTCCCGCTCCCACACCCCAAGAAAGGAAGAACTCTGAATGGCTCCCCAATGGCTTGATTTTCAGTTTTGTATTTTTAAGAGTGATTGCTGACGTGCGGCTTCGGAAAGGCCTTCAGACTCTGGTGCTTCTTTAGGTCATGCTTCTGTGTGCGTTTTTGGAGAGGGGCTTGCCGGTGTGAAACTGGACAGGGACTGCTGTTTGCCAGATGAGCAGCTTTCAGGTGTTTCACTGACGTCCCTGTTTCCTTGGCTAAAAACTGGGGAGGGCGGGTTGAGGGGAACGGAAGGGTTTAGTCGTTGCGTTACAGTTTATTGTCATGGCGGGAGGGGGAGATGCTTTGTCATATTTATTATATGTTTGCTTGCCTCTTTTTCCCCCCTTTGTTTTCTTTAAAGAAAAGTGGCTTAATTGTTGACTTTTGATGGACTCAATCAGAGTCGATCAGGCCGTGGATGCTTCCACGTAAGCCTTCTGCTTCTGTTCCCTTCAGCTCCCCTTTGAGGAACTGATGCTCAAAAGCATGTTGTTGTTGTTGTTTTCTTTCTCAAGTCTGTCTGGGCAGGAAGGAGGGAGCCAGAAGGGTCCTGCTGCTTTGCATTGAAGGGTTGCAGTGGATCTCTGACAAAAGGGAGGGGTTTGTGACTTCTTTGCCTCTTGCAGAAGGCCTGTCCTCGCAGTGTAGGGATTACATCCCCCCCCCATGTGTGATGTGCAAAAGCTCTAACCAGCATAGATGGGAGGGGTGGGTGGGCATCAGCCATTGGGTAGAATTGGTCTAATGTCTGCACTGATTAGTGAAGTGTGTTGATTCTCAAGGCATGTTTACCTGGGGCTGCCGATTCCTTTGGAGATGGTGTGTCTATGCCAGATATGCTGTGATTGCACATCTTGGTTCACAGTTTGGCTGAGTCATGTTGCGATTCTTTACATGTTCTGACTCTCCAGAAGCCTGTACATTATGATCTTAACATTTCATGTGCCGTGTGTGCATCTATGTGTTTCTTTCTCCGACATGCACCATGAATTTCCACAGTACTTCCCAGAAGGCTCCTAGGTAGATTGCACTAATAAAATATTCTCTAAAAATATTGAATTGAATCTTACTCTGTGTATTCCCTTGTAAGCTGGAACAGAGGTGATTGTCTAGAACAAACAGTTTATGGGCCTGGCTGCAACTGACGTAGGTTTTGGAATAACGAAGCAGCGTTTACATGCCCACAGAACGCCATCCGTTCTGCTTTGGTTCCTTGCCAAGATACTCCTAATTTTGTAAACCTTTTGGTCTTCTCAAGCCTGCAAATAACTCAGGTTTGTGTGTGGAGGGGGCTGGTTTGGCTCCCTGGCCTGACACCTAAAGATTCAAAAATACTGCTCAGGTGTGGCTAAAACTCATTTCTCTCTTGGTAGAGGTTGCTTCCTCCAGAAGCCTCATACCCCCATGGCTTTCAAGGCCATTGTATGACTTGGACCAGCCCTGCCATAAGGCAAGGTGAGGCAGTGGCCACAAGCAGCAGATCTGGGGAGGTGGCAGTAAGATATTGGGACAAAATACATCTTTGCCATGGGGTCTGCCTCGTGACCCCCTTGCCTAGACTGTTACCTTAATGCACAATGCATAAGAGACTCTTCCCACGGCCAGTTCTCTATGTCGAATTGAAGTGGGGTGCTATTATATGCCTCAGGCTGTGAAGCGGATCAACCCGGCTTGAGAATTCATGACATTGTCTGGGACTTGCATCCCTTGTAAGGCAAACAACTCGGTTGGTGCTCCACCGGGAGAGATGGGAATGACAAATCTGTTCCACAGGGGGGTTATTTCTTGCACTGTGCTGTTCTTGCACATTGCAGAGGCGGGTGGCCGATGACTGAAAGGGAGGCAGGAGAAGTCATCCCAGATGGTGTTTTTCTAGAAAAGGCTGTGCTGTTTTCTCCGCTCTCCACTTTATTCTCTGCTGTTCACCTGCTGGGCCTTCATTTTTCTCCTTCCCTGGGGAATAGCATGTGTGTGTGTGTGTGTGTGTTTTTCCTCCAAGGACATTGCAGTGCCATCAGTGGAAGAGAATGGTTTTCTGATAAGCTGCCTTTATACCCTGTTCTGTTGTCTGTCCATCTGGTTCCGTAGCGTTGGCCAGATCTCCAGGGCGTCAGGCAGAAAAAGGTCTTTCTCATCACCTGTTGCTTTTACCTAATCCTGTCTACTGGAGACACCTGAGACTTGAACCAGGAACCTCCTGCCTATTAAACATGTGCTGAACCCCTCTTGCCTCTGGTACGTCTCCTGATCAAAAGCAGATTGGACTCGACTCAAGAGTTAAAACCACCGATGGAACCAATCTCATGCTCTCTCTAAACATGGGGAATTCTTGATCCTGCGGATATGGTTGGATTGCGATTCCTATCATGCCTCCTGTTGGCAATGCTGCCTAAGGCTGATGGGATTTGTAGTTCAATAAGAACTAGAAAGTGATGTGTTGTATGTCGCTGGTCTTGGAAATGATGCAGTGGTTGCAGCCTACCTAAAACCTTGGAAGAATGGTTTGGGCCAAACAACAAGAACTACACAGATAGTTTCACATTTAGGGGATGATGAACACATTGGTTGCTTCAGTGGCCATCTTCAAAGCTGCTGGGTTTGGAAAACGACCACAAAAGGAGTACATAGCTAACAGAAATCACTAAAAGCTAGATCTGTGTGGCAAATGGACAAGAAAGAGCTTTCTGCTGGGTTTCTTCCAGACTACAAAATCTGTTTTCGGGAATAAGAGTGATAGCAGGTCTTCTCCTGTGGGCATTTAAACTGTTTCTGTGACTAGCATTGTGATTTTAATTGCCTAGCCATTGTTTTTAAGAGGGAGATTGTTTAAGGTCCCCCTCCCAACCTTTTAAAATGTCTAATTTGTGTGGAGCCTCGTGACACAATGGTTAAGCTGCAGTGTTGCAACCAAAACACTGCTCACGACCTGGGTTCAGTCTCAGGTAGCCCTCTCCAGGTTAACTCAGCTTTTCATCCTTCTGAGGTTGGTAAATTGAGTCCCCAGCTTGCTGGGGGAGGGGGCAATGTGTAGCCTGCATAATTAAATTGTAAGCCACCCAGAGAGTGCTTTAAGTGCTGTGGGATGATATATAAGCAGCACACTACCCTATTTCCCTGAAAATAAGACAGGATATATAAGCAGCAGACTACCCTATTTCCTTGAAAATAAGACATGGTCTTATATTAATTTTTGCTCCAAAATGCATTAGGGCTTCTTTTCAGGGGATGCTTTTTTTTTCATGTACAATCTACATTAATTCAAATACAGTCACGTCATCATCTTCTGGTTGCTGCACAATGCTGCACAAGGGTGGAGGGCGGGCTTTCCCTTAACTAGGGGTTGTTCTTGGGGTAGGGCTTATATTACAAGTATCCTGAAAAATCATACTAGGTCTTAACTAGGGCTTGTTCTTGGGGTATTACAAGCATCCTGAAAAATCATACTAGGGCTTATTTTCAGGTTAGGTCTTATTTTCAGGGAAACAGTTTTTAAAACATGTATTTTGGGAGTAAGTCAGAGATACATGTACTGTATAATAAACTAACAGCAATTCTTCAATACAGTACAAGTCTCTTTTGAAACTGGCTTAGTCTTTGTTTATTACGGAAGAAGTCTTAGATCTATCACGGCCTTGTGAAAAAGGGTGGGGCTGATCTTTTCAATTCTGATTTTTTTTCAGTGAATGCTATTGAATATTTATCTGAAGACAAAAGACCCTGGTGAAATTGTTCATTACTCCTTAATTAATAATCACACCACAAGCCTCTTTGGAACTACAGTGAGTTGTTTGGACTGATTTGTAAATTTTTGATCTATATAAAGATGTAAGGTAGGATGGTTGATGCAGAAGGAGCGTGGAAAGAAGGGATGGGCTATAATTGGGCTAATATGCAGCTTGGCAAGGTATGCAATTAATATGCCACAAGAATAAAGAGCATGTCTGCTAATAATAGAGCATAATTGGGATTAAATGGCACTCGGTCGTAGGCTATATGACAGAACGCTTGTGTTTATGCTTTTCAAATGAGTAAAATGGAATGCAACACCCACAAACGAGCCAGTCTCCTCTCCAGGCAGAGCTAGGGAGACAGACGATACTTCTGAGTTCCTCTGCACGCTTCCCTAGCTTTTATCAGCTGTCATACAATGCTTTCTCCTTAAAATTTTCATTCAACTGCATCTTGATGGATGGGCTGACAGTTTTTCCTGCAGTAAACTGTTAGAACAAGGGCAGCGGCACAGCATTTAAGGTAACAGGGAGCGAGGAGCATGGTGGGGAACCGATGGATAGCAAGGTAGGCTTAGGCATCTTGGTGCTTCTTGGTTTTCTGTGAATGGCCATTTATGGATCGTGCCCCTGTGGTCATTTCCCTCCTAGATCCTCCTGACATTTCTGCCTTCTCCTCCTGCAATGGCCCTGTGGTCATTTCCCTCCTAGACCCTTTTGCTTGTCTGCAAAGAAACTGACATTTCTGCCTTCTCCTCCTGCAATGGATGGCCAGCACCAACGGGTCTGTGGATGTCCATCACCTTGGAGTGACAGCAGGGAGCCACACTGCCTCTGAAGGTTTCGGCCAAACGGTTGGACTCTCGGGGTTCGGCTCTCCAAGGTGACAGGCTGAGACTTGAAAGAGGCAGCCTATAAATAGACATCACACAACTCCTGCTGATGTCTTTTCAGTGCGTTGAGAGAAGCTGGTCGAATGTCCCTTTAGAAACCACTTGGAGAAAAAGATCTTTTCGTTCCTTAAGATCTCAGCAAACTTAAGTTCGGTTTTCTTCTCTCCCTGCACTGTTGGAAGACATTTCCTCCCATCAACCCTAAGTTTTTCTTCCAAGCTTTTTAGCTTCACCACAATCTTCCCACTTGGGCTTACCTGCCCCTGTCTCTCACCTGAGACAGCTGTGTATCATTGAAAATGTAGACGGGCCAGGCCTTGGGTTATTCCCTTCGTCGTCGTTCTGGCCCTGTTATTCCACTTCTTTTGTTATTCCCTTCATCGTCGTTCTGGCCCTGTTATTCCACTTCTGGAATTTTCTGCCTTGGGAATCAAAAGAAAACAAACACAAGACATTTATAGGGTGAACACGATGTTATCTTTGCCAGAACCCTGACCTCCCCTACCTGAACTTGGGCCTCATGAGGACTAGGGGCATTCTTTTGATATTTCGTCAAATGAATCTTGAGATCATACCTTCCCACAATGTGATGCTCTTTGGATGTTTTAAGCTATGTCATTCTTAACCACTGGTGCTGTGGGGAGTTCTCCTAAATCTGGATGGCATTGTTTTGGAAAAAATGACTTTGAGGAATGTGTACCAGCTGGTTACATTATGGCTGCACAGATTTTATTGCAGGAGGTAAATCCTGTTAGAAGGCCAGGAAAATTTTAACAGACACAGTTCAATTGTATTCTAGTTCTAGTCTTGAGGGCTAGAAACTTTCTTCCAGTATTTTGTAAATGAGACCAGAGGCTCTTGAGATGCCTTTCAACCTCTCCCTGTATCTTTTTATGCACCCTCTGCAATGTGGGACATGAAGTTAGTCTTGAAAAACATTTACAGCAGGCTTGGTTGCTGATCTTCCGTTTCCCTCACCCCCTTTTGAATGCGACACTTTTTTCCATTCTTTGTTGTCCTGTCTTATTGAATTTTCCTCTCTTTTCTCTCTTCCTGACTTTCTCTTTCTTCTGATAAGCCTGTACATCAATGGCTTATGGAGAATTCCCCAAATGCTCTCCAAGATGTCAAGGGAGGCAATTTTTCAGTCGTAGCCGATGCTGGGGCCTTTATTTGCATTCCCCAAAGCCAGCCCAAAGAGATGATCAAAGAGTAAGACGCAGCGTTTCAAAGGAGAGGGTGGTGGGTTGGGGGTAACTGCACTAAGATGTCTTTAACATAACATCCTGCCACACATACAAAGACTTAAGTTGTGCACCAAAAGCAGAGGATGGAGAAATAAGATCAGCCAGATGCCGAGAACAGCACTTTTCCTTCTGTCCTCATGACCGTTTTTTCCAGCTGAATGGATATATGTGTGTGTATTTCCTACTTTTCC